TGTCTTAGTCATCTAGTGCTGCTCTAACAGAAATACCACAAGTGGATGGCTTTAACAAAGAGAAGTTTATTCTCTCACAGTCCAGTAGGCTACAAGTCAAAATTCAGGGCAACAGCTCCAGGAGAAGGCTTTCTCTCTCTGTTGGCTCTGGAGAACAGTCCTTGTAATGCGTCGGTCTTTCCTTGGTCTGGGAACTTCTCTGCTCAGGAACCTCAGGTCCAAAGGATGCACTCTGCTCCCGGCAATGCTTTCTTGGTGGTATGAGTTTCCCAAGTGTCTCTGCCCGCTTCTCTCTTTTATATCTCAAAAGAGACTGGATTAAGACACTATCTAATCTTATAAACCTCATTAGCATAACCTCATCACAGTGATATAATTTACAACACATAAAGAGATCACATATAACCTCCTCATAGTGATAAGGAAATCACATCAGATTACACAATCATACAATACTGGGAATCATGACCTAGCCAAGCTGCTACACACGTTTTTTGGGGGACACAATTCAATCCATGACACTTAGCAAGAAGGGTTTTTTTTCTTAAACTCGACTACACTGTAGTGGTGCAATGGTTAAGATGGTTAAGAGCTTGGCTACTAACCAAAAGATCAGCAGTTCAAATTTACCAGCCGCTCCTTGGAAACCCTATGAGGCAATTCTACTCTGTCCTATAGGGTCACTATGAGTCGGAATCGACTTGATGGCAACGAGTACAGTGTACACTGTAGTAGTTGTTGTTAGGTGCCGTCGAGTTGGTTCCGACTCATAGTGACTGTAAGTACAACAGAATGAAACACTGCCCGGTCCCGCACCATCCTCACAAACGTTATGCTTGAGCCCATTGTTGCAGTCACTGTGTCAATCTATCTCATTGAGGGTCTTGCTCTTTTTCACTGACCCTCTACTTTACCAAGCATGATGTCCTTCTCCAGGGTTTGATCTCTCCTGATAACATATCCACAGTATGTGAGACGTAGTGTCGCCGTCCTTGCTTTCTAAAGAGCATTCTGGCTGTACTTCTTCCAAGACAGATTTGTTGGTTCTTTTGGCCATCCATGGTGTATTCAGTATTCTTTGCCAACACCATAATTCAAAGGCATCAATTTTTCTTCCGTCTTCCTTATTCATTGCCCAGCTTTCGCATGCATATTAGGTGACTGAAAACACCATGGCTTGGGTCAGGCGCACCTTAGTCTTCAAGTGACATCTTTGCTTTTTAATACTTTAAAGAGATCTTTTGCAGCAGATTTGCCCAATGCAATGCATCAGTTTCGATTTCTTGACCACTTCTTCCATGGGTGTTGATAGTAGATCCAAGAAAAATGAAATCCTTGACAACTTCAATATTTTCTCTGTTTATCAATGTAGTAGTCAGATCAAAAATTAAAAACTTGAATGAACTTGCAATTTTAAGTTTTCTTTTATTCTTATATTTAAACAGCACAAAACGAAAATGATCTAAAGGAACAATCTAAGGTAGTGATAATCCCTAAGTCTTTTTTGTACCACTAGTTTCAACATCTTCTCTACCAGAGCTGGTAGCAAGTAACAGGAGTTCTCCATATTCATATTTTCTGTGGAAATGTTTCTATGTGATACTAACAGCTCAATGACAGACAGTAAGATGGGAAAAAGAGAAAAACTAAAGGCTCTGATTGATAAAATGAAAATTAAGTCTGAGTTAATTAATAATTGACCTGTTATTTTTTTCTTTCCTGTTCATAGAATGAATAAGCAATCTTAGTGCTTTCAATAAACACCCTGTGAACCCAACAAAAATACACAATATGCACTGAAGCAATGTGTTATAATGGAAAAAGTTTTGCAACCTAAGAATTAATTTTGTTTTGGCACTTCATGAAACAAAGGAATAGAAGCTGTATTTAATTATGGTGTTTTTCTTCCATAGATGTTATTGATGGTGTTTTTCTTCCATTGTATGGTATTTTTCTTCCACTGTTGTTGTTGTTGCTGTGTACCCGAGTCGATTCCTACTCATAATGTCCCTAAGGGACCCTATCGAGTAGAACTGCCCTATAGGTTTTTCTAGGCTGTACTCTTTATGGAAGCAGACTACCACATCTTTCTCTCGTGGAGCGGCTCATGAGTTCAAACCACTGACCTTTTGGTTGGCAGCCTAGCACTTAACCATTATGCCACCAGATGTTATTGTTTACATCTCTGTGATTTCACATAAAAATTAAAAAGTTCAGTGGACTCAAGTATAGGTACTTTGTACTCAAATATTTTAATTAAGCAGAAAAGATCTGTGAAGAAAAGAAAGAGGAGAACACATACTGTCCTTTGTCCTTTGCACTATGACTTTTAAAGCTATATGCATATATTAGCTTGATAAAATAAAATTTAATTTAAATATATCTATTTATGCTTATATGCACATAAGAAAATATCTGAAAGGATACTTACCAAACTATTAATAACAGCTACCCTTATGGAGTATGAGTTTGGGGTGAGAATGAGGAAGAGAGAAACATATACTTTTATTTTACTTCATAAGAAAGTTTTAAATTGATAATTTGCATACATTCCTTCTAAGTAGAACAAAAATGAGATATACTGTACCTACGGTAACCCTGTTTTAATACATGGTGAACATTTTTTGCAAGGCAATAAACATACTTCTATGGCATCAATTTTCATGGTTGCATACTATTCTATTGCACAGATGCCCCAT